AGTTATACGTTCTTTGGGTAATGAATCCGGTCCACTATTAAGGATGTTCCATTTCAATAAGCCACAAAAAGCCCAAGGCAACTGGGTCACTGTTTTTGTTTCTCGTCTTGAATTAATGTATAAAAATCGCTCACGGTCAAACGTATAGTAGATTTCGTTGAGTTTACTACCAACCAATAGTCCTACCACTGGTCCGAGAATCTTCACGAAAAACATGCACGCTGGAATCAACCATATTTAGTTACTGAGCGCCAAGTGTGAAAGGATTGAAGAAACTGTGAGTTGGTGTACGGACCGAAATATAGTGGGAGATTGTGTTTCTTCACGTTATCGTCCATTAATGGAAGTCCTAATGAGAATGGCATTGTCCTGAACATGGAGAATTTGAACGATTCTGAGCGCATGATTAGAGCTCCCATGTATTTCTTGAATCTAGATGAGGTTTCTTACCTTCCCACACCCAACAGCATCAAGCCTCCGAAAATCATCATAAAAGGACCAGAACTGGATTGTTCCTTTTTGCATTCATCGGTTCTATGCTGTAATGTGACAATGGAATAGGATGTTGGGAACAGTAAATATAAACCAAGGAAAATCTTTTAGTATCTTTTATAAAGCAACTAAAGCCTTATTCACTGTACAGGGTAGTCCGCTCTGCTATCGCACAGGTTTACCAGTTTTGCGACCAGGAATCGACCTTTTTGTCAGCCCCTCGTCAGATAATTACAAAGCTTCAAGTACAAAGATGAGTGTTTACACGAGATCAGTTCCTTACTGGTTGCACTTACAAAGCTTTTGACGTATTCTGTCGAAGCTCGCGATATTCTTCAACACAGCTGCAACTCGCAAGCTTTTTCACGCACACTTAATTAAATCGGCGCTCCGATCAGACCACAAGTAGTAAAGTAAGACCTTCCTCTAGCGCGCATTACAGTGAGTCATTTCTAGTGGTTAAGGGGGAATACGCTTCGCGGCTATGAGTTAATTCCACTTCCTGGACTTATGCTGCAATATTCTGGCGCATCTCTGCCGGACGTTTTTATCCCTTCGAGGGCCTAGATGTATCAGCATTCTTCATGCGTTCGTTCAAAAAACCCTCTCGTGGAGGTGAAAATTCCTTGTAAGACTGTAGCACCGCACGCACAAGCACCCTCCATAATGCTCTAAATGATCCCAAGGCATACCCATTTGCCCAACGACAAAACCCCACATAGGACGAATTTGGTGGCCCTTTCAACGATTCAGCAGCATTCAAAGTAACTTTTGAAAACTTACGTCTTGCCGTAATTTGTTGATTATGTTGTGACAAAAGGAGTACGGTAACGATGTGAGGACACGCACAGCTGAGACGTCTTTCTCATTAATCTGATGCTCTTTCGCGATACGTGCCTAGAAAGCATACCGATAACGTGCAGTGCCAGATTCATGCTCGAATGAAGGGGTTGCGCTGGATAAGTTTACATCCACTTTTGTCAGCTGTATTCATCAAGAATTCTCACCTCCATACGAGCGCAAACGTCCGAGTTGGGATTGTAAAAGCAGTAGGACTGATACTTGACGAACTCCTCGTTGTGTGTCCTATATGGTCCAATCTGAAAGTATAAACGGTATTCTATCCAGCGATCAGAAGCACTGACAAGCTCGTGTACCACTAGGGTTGGTTTCCGCGTTGTCGCGAGGAAACTGTAAAGTGTTTCCTGGCTTGTCGCACCACTTCTACATCAAAATAACCATAGTCGTTATAGCTGCAATCGCTGGGCGTGTCAGAGGATAGGGGCTTACTTTGATACGTCGCCAGCCCCTCTTCCACCAGTTGCTTTCGCTCGCCCACTTCAACTATTGGTGGAAAACGGACTGGCATAGCTCTGAACCCGGCTCTCTGACACACTTCAGCGCCTGCAGCGGAAATGCTTTCACATCCTGGTGCGAACGGGGCGCTAGTGGCACCAACTGTAGCACACCGCTCCGCAATGTGGATCTCCTTGTTCAGAAACCGTGCCCAACTTGATTTTCGTACCGACTTTTTCGGAAAAACGAAATCTGGAATCAATCTTTAAATGGGAAAACAGGGTCTTCCACGCAATGCGTTACACCAAAAGCCAAGACCCATCCAGGGCACATCATTGGTTGGGGATTTTGGTCGTGTCCGTTCGACCCCCTTTTTTTAAGGGGTTGGTGCGACCTCTCACCCCATTCTCCATCCTAAATCCTGAATACCACTTTCTTCGCTTTTCCCAATCTCCTATTAGTTTCTCCGAAATTTCCCGGAAACTTTCCTGGTTTTTCCCAAAAATTTTGCTGTCGAGCGGGGAGGGGGAGGGGGGTAGATAGTACACATGAAACTGGAAAACCCACAGGAAACTTAACAACCTCTTGCCAGAAGCCCAATACGACCCCTCCTTTACAGCGTCCCTGAAACAAGAGAAATTAACTATCAAAAAAACTTTTTCTCCACATACAATCCCCATTCCCCCAGCGACCAAATACGACCCACTTCTGTTGGGGAATCCTCAACGGCGATGTGCCCTGGACCCATCTCTCACACACAGGGCCTTTCATGGTAGTGTGTCTCTCATGAGAAAGCAGCGGTGGCCCGCTATTCAATGGCTTTTATATTTAAACAATGGGAGCGGGAAATTTTTGCAAAGATTTGCAAGTGGCACGTTGGGCAGTTTAACCGAGTAGACGTTCTTCTATTTATTCTCAGGCTAAAGAGCAAGCTTCCAAAATATTCTGGCTGGGTGTGTAGCGGGTGCTGATCTGTGATAAATTTTTATTAACGATTGCTACGCCAACGACGGTTACTAGTGAGCTGTATAGTAATTTGAGCACACTCACTAATATAACCCTATCCAGCACTAGGAGCGAGTCAAACTAGGAAACCGGGTGGTGAAATAAATGACCGATTCCGGTGCAGGCCGGCTAATTATCGCTATTCCTTCGAGGCCGGTTACAATTCTGTTTGCTGCGGAGATGATGGGGCGTGTCAGGCGGGACGGGTTCAGCGCAGCGTCACGCGTTCTCATTTTCCCTTCTTTTTGCAATAATACTGTATCAAAGCGTTCATATGAATCGCTTTCCACCAATTTTTGTAGCTACGCTCTAACAGCTGGTAGAGAAGAGGCTGGCGGCGCGCCAAACCCAGTCTCATTGACAGGCCTAATCATTCGCAGGGAACGACTGTTTTCATGTCGAATTCGCCTGGGAGGGGAAAAGAAACTGCCTTCAACGTCCGTCAGACCCCGCAAGTTATGCATTGTGTAGGCGAAATTGTCGCATCGCATCCATTACAATTTCTAGGGAAGTTCCCTTGTATGTACGGCTCATACCGAAAGTTGAGAGCCGCAGAGCTTATCCGGTTGTTCCTTCTGTGAAATAGATTAGAACTTCATTTTAACTAGCAGGACAGGCATCCAAATAGTCTAACCTAGAGGAACTAGAAAAACTGAACTTCCAAGAAAATCAAATCGGTTGCGGAAAATGATATAAATTGTGAGGTATCGTATTTTTGCAAACTCTAAATCTAACTGAATGAGTAAATCACTTATAAATATTCCCCAAAACGCTCACATAAGTTCCAAGAGCGGCTCCTTCAGGATCGATCTCTCGCAACGTTCTATTGAACCAATTTTCATCTGTCGAGACATTCAGTACAAATCTAAAGAAGTAGATATCATCCTTCATAGAATTCTATAGAATTCTTTCATCTAGAAAAATGTCTGGCTACTGTTGATATTCCAGGAGAAACTTGCAATTCTTAGCACAATAAGGTACAGTCTTCTTTGCTGCGGATGCTGGGGTGTGTTCGAGGGTAGGGTTTGGCACGGCACCAACCACTTCGCCACCATTTGTTGAAGCGAGCCGGCGACAAATGAAACTCGGAGGAGGGGTCATATTTTGCAATAATTTTTACCAGCGGCAGGACGTGCCCTGACCAGATAAGTGTCAGCAAAAACTTTCTCTCAAAACAGTAATCAAAGGAACGGTCCGCGATGACCTATGAAAATGCAGGAGATTGTTATGGGAGGGTAGTATGGGCCGCAATGAACCACTTTTTGCCAGTTTGTGAC